TTTTTTTTTTTTTTTTTTTTTTTTTTTTTTTTTTTTTTTTTTTTTTTTTTTTTTTTTTTTTGAGTGGCTGGGTGGTACAGGGATCTGAACCCTTGACTTTGGTGTTACAACATCTCTTTCTCTCTTAGGATGCCATGTTCACGTCCCCATTTTCAAGCCAAGAAACAAACTCTGGGAGTGTCTCAGCAGGGAGACCAGACATCTAGGTTTGCCTGACACAGCCCCAGTTTATGACAGCTGCTCTGGCGTGAGGTTTGGAGCACCCCTTTCAGTCTCAAAAGTGCCAGAGTTTGGATAACAACCTGTATGGTCACTCTAGTCTAAGTGACCAGACCACAGCTGAGTGGTGGTGATCAAGGATGGCCTTGCAGTCCACTGCTCTTTTTATTAAAGCCCTCCACCGTCTGATTGTTTGCATCCCCCTCAATACTCATATGTTGAAATCCTCACCCCCAAGGGGATGGCATTAGGACTTTGAGCCTTTGGGAGGTGTTGGGAAAATAGAATAATTTAGTCAGGCCCCCTCGCCTTAGGTATAGTTGAGGGTGGTGCAGCACATTCTTTGTAGGCAAATTGTGTGTGGGTAGGTGGAGTTAATGCACATGCCTGGCACTGCTACTCGGCTGGTGTTTTTACTGCTTCAGGCGTCTGCTGCACATAGCCATGCTCTCCAACCTACCACTTCCAAGGACCTGTTTGCCAGTTACCTAGCTCATAGACCTGCATGTGAGGGGTCTGGTGACCCAGCCTGGCATGTGAAGGGTTTGTGACCCAGTCTGGTCACTGGGCTTGAGGGGGTCTGTGAGCTCCAGACCCAGCCCTAGCTCAACAATTGGCCCAATCAGCAGGATTGCGGGCAGGTAAAAGTGCTCAACAGGAGGTGATTAGATTATGGGGGCAGATCCCTCATGAATGAGATTAGTGCCATTATGAAAGAGGCCCAAAAAAGACCCCTTGTCCCTTCCACCATCCGAGGACACAGCAAAAAAGACAGCTGTCCATGAACCAGTAATCATTCACCAGACACCAGATTTGATGGTGACTTGATCTTGGACTTCCCATCCTCCAGAACCGTAAGAAATAAATTTTGGTTGTTTATAAGCCACCCGGTTTACAGTATTTTATTATAGCAGCCAGATCAGACCAAGACACACCCTAATAAAACAAAGACACAGAGGGACAGAAGATCACACAAATGTACAGACAAAAATGAATTCAAATGGGTTCAAGGAATCCTGTCTTGAGTCCTAGAAATAAACCTTCTGTGAAGCAAATATTTCCTTGTCTTCCATCAATGGATCCATTTTGTACAGCATGCCTTCGTACTATGGTTTTATCTAAAGCATGGAACTTAGGACTGTCTGGTTAGCTCAGTTGGTTAGAGCATGGTGTTACAACACCGAGGTCAAGGGTTCAGATCCCCGTACATGCAGCCAAAAAAACAAAACCAAAAAGTGGTATTCATTTAACTGAGAAAAGCAATACCTTTTTTACCCCTGGGAGCCTACTGAAGCAGCATCAGTGCTTCAAATTTTGCCTCCCTTCTGGCACCTCCCTACAGCCCAGCAATCCCCCTTATCTGCCTCCTGGCTCCAGCTCTGTCCCTGACAAGTCATCTGCCTGTAGCTTTCAATCTTACCAGACAAGCTATTTCAGTTCCTTCGGCTTTTAGAGAAGACTAATTGGACCCTGTCATTCTCTCCTTAGGGGGTCTTGACACATGAGGAAAAGATGATTCCTCACCAAAGGCTAATGAGCTGTCCCTTATTAATCATGTCTGCAACCAGAAACTCATTTAATGATGCTCCTTTCCGGGTTGAAAGAATATAGGAACAGCTGACCACAACCACAGCCACAGGTTATGTGTGTCAGTTTCTCCCTGGGTGTCAGTTTTCTTTTTGCCTTCTGTTATTTCATCCTAGCTCTCTATGCCTTGCCCATCTTTGTTCTGGCTAAAACCGTGACTGGATCTTTATAGTTTTACTACCTATGGATGCACAAAACCAGGATTTCCACCCATCTGTGAAACTCCACAACCCAGGCTTTTAACAATGATTTTATGCTGGCACTTATTCTATTAGTTTCTGAAAGATGAGTTGTCTTCCATTGATTGTGGATTTGTCTATTTCTCCTTTGAGATCTGTCAGTCTGCTTCATGTATTTTGTGGCTGTTATCAGATATTAGATACAAATTTATAACTACTATATCTTTCTTTCATCATTACCTGTCCCTCTTGATCTCTAATAATGATTCTTGCCTTAAAATTGAATTTGTCTGGAATTAGTATTGCCACACCAGCTTTGGGTTCGACTTGCAACAGTATATCTCTTTTCATTCTTTTACTGCCTCAATAGCAGACTTGGAGCATCTTTCTACTATATACTTTTGTGGCTTTTGAACTACTTGCAAAATCATTGATACTTTTCAATTCTAAAACGCAAAACTGGGAAAAGAGATAAGAAAAAAAAGAAGAAAGAAGATTTGAATGAGGCTAAGCCTTAGGTCAAGCCTCCAGAATGACTTGTACTCTCCTTATGCAATTCTATTTCTCCATGAAGAAAGGTTTCAGCTGGGTTTAGATAAATTAGTACATTTCATCAACATAATGCTCACTCACATAAGTGATGCCTAATAGACGCCAAATTAGAAAACTGTTTATTCACAAAGATACTAATTGTACAAGCACACTGGCATATATGGTACAAATTAGTCACATAAACATAAGTGGTATCACAACCATTTTGAGTTAAACTATTTTCTCATGCAAGACACTTTCTGTGGTTACAGAAGGTGGGCACCCTGAGCCTTCACTCCTCAGCACTCTGCGTGCTGACGTAGTCCTGGAGAAGCACCTGCGCCTCTGCTCGCCGGCTCATCTTGGTGGCTTTGCCCTGAAAGCGGCCGTTCTTCCCCGCTCCTTTGCCTTCCAGGATCTCAGCCACCCTGGGGAACAGAGATGTAGTCAGGGAGGTTTCTGAAAGAAAAGCCACACACACACACACACACAAAAAAAAAACAGAAGCCCTGAGTCTTTTCCCTCCCTGGGGAAGGGAGAGGAAGAGTAGATGACTTCTAGAAATCTTTCTTAAAAATTCTTAAAAAAAAAAAGTTCTTGCACATGGGGCCGGCCCCGTGGCGCACTCGGGAGAGTGCGGCACTGGGAGCGCAGCGACACTCTCGCCGCGGGTTCGGATTCTATATAGGACTGGCCGGTGCGCTCACTGGCTGAGGGCGGTGCAGACGACACCAAGCCAAGGGTTGCGATCCCCTTACTGGTCACGAAAAAGACAAAAAAAAAAAAAAAAATTCTTGCACATGTACACAAAGATATACATACCATGTTCACTATAAGAGTGAATAACTGGAAAAAATCTAAGTGTCTATAAATGGTGCTAGATAAATTACAGTAATCTCCAGGGAGCAGGGTGCGGGCACACTAGGGATAAGGAGCTGCAAACACAGACACCTGTGGGCAGCAGCAGTGAAGCAAGCTGGGTGGTAGAAAGGGGGGGAATGTGGCAAAGTGGGGAGGCCTGGCCTGTCTGAAGAAGGAGGCCACCGCTCAGTTCCTCGTCACACTACCATGTAGAAACGCAGGCCCAGTGCTGGAAGAGCTTCCCTCTTTTTCTTTTTTAAAAGAAAAGCTAGAACTTTAGATTTTCATGTTAAAATCTAATTTTTTTTTCTTTTTTTGTGGGGGAGGGCGGTGTGTGTGGAGGGGAGGCTGGCCAGTACAGGGATCAAATCGTGGACCTTGGTTCAATCAGTTTGGCACCACACTCTAACCAACTGAGCTAACCAGCTGGCTTCAAAATCTCCCAAGTGAAGACCTGCCCAGCTTCCTAGTTGCTTCCTGAGGCTAACCTTGCTACTCCTGAGGCTAACTTTGCTACCCATGAGGCTAACCTTGCTACTCCTGAGGCTAACTTTGCTACCCATGAGGCTAACCTTGCTACTCCTGAGGCTAACTTTGCTACCCATGAGGCTAACCTTGCTACTCCTGAGGCTAACTTTGCTACCCATGAGGCTAACCTTGCTACTCCTGAGGCTAACTTTGCTACCCATGAGGCTAACCTTGCTACTCCTGAGGCTAACTTTGCTACCCATGAGGCTAACCTTGCTACTCCTGAGGCTAACTTTGCTACCCATGAGGCTAACCTTGCTACTCCTGAGGCTAACTTTGCTACCCATGAGGCTAACCTTGCTACTCCTGAGGCTAACTTTGCTACCCATGAGGCTAACCTTGCTACTCCTGAGGCTAACTTTGCTACCCATGAGGCTAACCTTGCTACTCCTGAGGCTAACTTTGCTACCCATGAGGCTAACCTTGCTACTCCTGAGGCTAACTTTGCTACCCATGAGGCTAACCTTGCTACTCCTGAGGCTAACTTTGCTACCCATGAGGCTAACCTTGCTACTCCTGAGGCTAACTTTGCTACCCATGAGGCTAACCTTGCTACTCCTGAGGCTAACTTTGCTACCCATGAGGCTAACCTTGCTACTCCTGAGGCTAACTTTGCTACCCATGAGGCTAACCTTGCTACTCCTGAGGCTAACTTTGCTACCCATGAGGCTAACCTTGCTACTCCTGAGGCTAACTTTGCTACCCATGAGGCTAACCTTGCTACTCCTGAGGCTAACTTTGCTACCCATGAGGCTAACCTTGCTACTCCTGAGGCTAACTTTGCTACCCATGAGGCTAACCTTGCTACTCCTGAGGCTAACTTTGCTACCCATGAGGCTAACCTTGCTACTCCTGAGGCTAACTTTGCTACCCATGAGGCTAACCTTGCTACTCCTGAGGCTAACTTTGCTACCCATGAGGCTAACCTTGCTACTCCTGAGGCTAACTTTGCTACCCATGAGGCTAACCTTGCTACTCCTGAGGCTAACTTTGCTACCCATGAGGCTAACCTTGCTACTCCTGAGGCTAACTTTGCTACCCATGAGGCTAACCTTGCTACTCCTGAGGCTAACTTTGCTACCCATGAGGCTAACCTTGCTACTCCTGAGGCTAACTTTGCTACCCATGAGGCTAACCTTGCTGCTTGCTTTGTGTTTGTATACACAAAGTCCCAGACCCCTTCGCAAAGAGAAAGAGTGCTGGCCAAGCATCAGCAAGAAGTCCTTCTCAGCCTCAGCAGTTTATGAACAAGCTTTGGGTTTGTTTTTGTCTCCCTTAAATAGGATTCACCAGGGTAAGCAGAGATCTGTTAGGTGGAGGAGGAGGTGAGGGAAGGTGCTAACCAGTTACAGGGTTACAGTCAAGATGTTAGTAACAAACCCAGGAAATCTGGTAGGTGACACATTTCTTAGGGTCTACTCAGCATTGAGAATACCAGTGAGCAACCTGCCTCCCACCATGCACCGCACACCAGGCATAAGCTGAGCCCTGAGCCCAACATGGCCCCTCTGACTTGTCTCTAGCTCCTACTTCTCACCTGTGTAGTACGACCACACCTCCCCAGTCTGGGCTGTTCCTGAGGCTGTGGGCAATGTGCACAGCCAGGTCTCTGAGCAGATTCAGGTTGTTCTGAAATGGATGTAATAACTCAGTAGACAAGTAAAAAGAATAAGAAAAAAGAGCACCATTTTCCTTCCACCTAACACTCCCCTCACTACCCCCTACACATCTGCTTAGGCAGAAGGCCGAGGTCTAGAGAGCCTATTCCAGGCAGAGCCCATGCCCTCTCCACCCTCCATGGAATGAATCACCTTCTGCAGGAGCTTGGTGGTGTTCTGGAGCTTTTTCACTGCTTCCACATGATCCTCTGCTCCACACCTGTGAAAGAAAGGTCAGTGAAGACCTGCCCAGCTTCCTAGTTGCTTCTGGCGTTGGGGGCGTAAATCAAGGATGCCCTTCTTGCTAGGGTGCCTCCCTCCAGATGGGGAGCTGGGGACATACTGAGGAGGCCCCTTAGGCAATTGGATGAGAGGATACAAAGGAATAAACCATTTCATGTGAGTCTGATTTACTACCCAAAGCACATTATCATTTATGATTGCATCTTACCTCCCAAAGGTAAAAGATTATTCTGCCTACCTTACAGGTAGGAAAACTAAGCCCCAGGGTATCCACGATCTGAGAAAAAGCAGGAAATTGAAGGGGGCATACTTAAGCATAGCAGTCAATGCTTTTTCAGTTCCATGACTTCTCTCCATCCACTTCAGCACCCGGTTCCCAGCCAGAAATAACAGGTTAGTTTTGTTCTTTTTCCCCTTCTCAGTGCCCAGAATCTTAATGACCTATATGAGGCAAGGGGGTAACATACACACATGCATAAACCATAGTGGGTCCTGGAACCTGAGGGCACAAGAGACCTAGACCTCCTCTCCAGTTCTGAAGCAATGAAGGAGAAATTTCCTCAGTTGTCCCCCTCTACCACTCCCAGCCCTGTTGTGATCCCCACTCCCCTATTACCCTCTTTCTCAGCCACTCAACAGGCCCCCTCACCTACCTGAAGGTCACTGAGATTGCTCACGTGGGTCCCACAGCACATGTTGGAATCAATGCCCTTAATGGTAACAACTCGAATGGGCCCAGCATGATCACCCGGCAAACCCCGGCCCCTGACCTGGAGTAGAGGGGAGGGAGAAGGGCTGTCTGGATTCTGACGAGGAGCCCTTGGAGAGGCATTCTGCAGAGCCACCCCACTGGCTCTCCCCTCACCTGCTCCACCTCAGGATCATCCAGGCTCAGTTCTTGCACATTCACAGGAAGTCGATCTCTGATTTTTTCATTGACACTCTGCTCAATGGCAGCTACCTGCTCTGCAGTCACAGATGGGCTGTCCAGCTCAATCACACTCCGGAACCTCCCTAACTCCCTGCCAGAAGAAGTTGAGCAGTCACAGGATGCTGACTATGACAACAACAATAAAAAAAGTTTATGAAGAATGACTGTATAAATGATCTTGTTTAATCCTCACAAAAATCCCACAAGGTAGAGATTGTCACTCCCATTTTACAGGTGAGGAGTATTAAGGAACATGATCAAGGTCATGCAGCCAGTGAGTATGGGGCCAGGATTCACACCCTAGGTCTCTGGGCTCCAAATTCCGTGTTGTTTCCTAAGCAAAGGTAGATGTCTCTTCTCTCATCTTTATGTTTTCCCTAAAAAAACACAAGGTTATCCCACCACCCCATCTTCAAGGGGAACAGAGAACACAGCCAATTTTGAACACTACCCTTTCTTTTAACCTTCAACTCTCCGACCTATTACTGGGAACACAGCTGGTAGTCAGGGAGCCATGCCCCGCAGTTAGTCATATGGCTCTTGCTCACCATGATGTTGTCTTTAGCCCAAACAGATGGTCAGCAACTGCTGTGATGAGATGCTGCCCTGAACAGAGAAAGTAAGAGACGGGAGAAAAGTGAGAAGCCCAGCCAGCCACATACTCCCATAATGATACAATCTAGAAATTTTCCCTGCTGAAGACCTGACAGGCACTGGGTAATACACTTTAGATACTTTATTGAAAATACTTCCAAGAATTCTTTTTTTTTTTTTTTTTTTTTTTTTTTTTTTCTTTTT